CTGCGAAATATGGTTACAGTATGACAATAAAGAATAAAATATTACAATTTCTAGTTAACTTTCGTAACTTATCTGTGTTATTCTTAATTGATATGTATCTATAAATAAATAAATAAAAATAAAATTTCATAAATTAAACATAAATTGATGAATAACATTCATGTTACAAGAAACAGACATACCAGTAATTTCAAAGCGTTTTTCAACTTTAGATCAATGCCAATGGAACAGGAATTGAATCAACAAAATATTTTGTTCATGTGTACTTTAACTATTCCTGAGTATGATGATAAGTCTTCCTTACGTTAATTCTCTACTCGACTTTTGGCCAGTTCTTGGGGGTTCCTGGCCCACTGTGCGACGTCCATAAGGCCGAATTTTTAAAACCGTTTATTTCTATGAAAAATTACACTCATTTTCAGTTTTAGTGATTTAAAATACCCCCAAAAAGACAAATTCAGATAAAAAACTTTGCAGTCCTGATACTACACTATACCCTTTATGTTGATAATATATAAGCAATTTCAGAATCTCCATACACGTTCGTCGTTCAATGTGTGTGATTGCAATGCGAGTGCAAAATGCATATGTGAGTAGTGTTTTGAAAAGGTTTTAACGTCAGCTACAAGAATATGTAACAAAAAGTATAGGTTTCCATTTAAAAATTTAAACGTAACTTTCATAAAGCTTTCCAAGGTCATCACAAGGTCAAATAAATATAAGCAAAAATATTTTTCTGTGTCATCCATATTTTTCGAAATATATATATGTTTTTAGGTAAATCACCCACACTGTATAAATTAAAATAAATGATAATAAAAAAACTATAAATTCACGAGCGCAAAGAACTGTTGTTATGTTCTCCAAATCATTGTGAAAAATCACCGTAATTGGGAACGAACGTAATCGAATCTCTTGTGCGTGATTCACAAGTTCATGAGTTCGGTCTATCTCTAGTCGTAGGATACTTTTGGATTCTCGATGCGTATCACACTCTTCAGATCACGCTCGATCTCGACCAATATTTCTCGACCTGATCCGAGCTGGAAAAGTCGAGAACCCGTGTAATACACCCCTGGTGTTAGATCAATCCTGTATCTTTTTTTCTGTTTAACGTGGTGGAAATCTTCAAGAACACACTCCACCCCGGGGGAGGAAGAGGGGTAGTATGGGATTTTTACCCACTAAAATCACCATGGTGATCCTCGTCGGGCGCGCTACGAAGGGCCCCGGGAGCTTAAAAATTCCTTCTACAGCCCTTTCCGCGTCTTTGGCTTGCGCCCCGACCCAAGGGAGAGGTAAGATGTTTTGCAGCACACCTCTCCACCTCTGTACCTCAATTGTGGCCTAATTAACAGTGAGAAATTATAAATTCCTATGTTGCGAAACAAAGTAATATTAAATTAATTTCAACAGCATATAAATTAAAATAAGAACAATTTTAATCAACAATAATAAAATATATTAATTGTTTATAAATATGTTAAATCAATACTTCGTCCTTTTTACAAATACTATCCATGTCAAAACCCATATAAAAATTAATGAAATTTACATTTATTAAATATTTAGTACGTAATGTATAAGTAATACGTCATAGAAATGCCTAAGTGCGGTCGTAAAATCAGTTAGGTGCCAAAGTACACAAATATAATCTGAGCGAGGGAATCGCAGTATGGGTAAGTTGAAGTACCCGATCATCGTTGAAAGTCGTTTAATGTCAACACGGAATTGATTCTCCTATTGCAATATATTAAACAATTTGTTTGTGCCTTAATCTTTCACAGCTGTAGGTTAATTCTTACCAATACGGCAATATTACTGAGCAGGATGTGACGGAGGCTTAATATCGTATAGTTTCAGTGAACAATTTGAAGCAGATATATTAAATATAAATTCACAAATGACATACGGTCCTGGATGTGGTTAAATTAATCGATGTCGCCGTTAAACGGTTTGATTTAGGACCGCACTAAACACTTCCACCAAGTATATGTAAAAGGACATGTAGTATAGTTTGGTGTTCTATCCTTTAAATATTGTGTGGATCATTTGTTGTTAAAATTGGTTTTGATAAATTTGTATGTTATATAAAGTATTTTACATATGCACATTTCTTTATACATTACTTTTCCACATTTACACATAAATAATTAGAAAAGCATTTAGCTGTAAACACTTAACTATTGCTAAAAAATAATAATGCTGAGAATTTTCAACATAACAATATTTCTCACTTTACTATATCACTATACTGTATTTTGTTTGTTGCGTGGTATTAGGTGGCATAGTTGTCGGATGAATATGAACAGGTAAATCCCAAATCATTGTTTCAACATCTAATGTTAATGGTCCCTGCCAGTTGGTGGTATTATCATTTGGCATTTCTACTAGTTTGGATGTTGTAACAAATTCAAAATGTAATCTCCATTTTAACATCATTAAATCAGTAGTAAAATCTGGAGTTACATGTAATGGTATAGGTAAAACTAAATGAGAGTACTTTAAACCCATACACATTTCGTGATGTTTATTATAACTGGCGAAAGTGGGTGTTGAGACCTTTCCTCGTCTGTATTCCTCTGAAACATGTTCTTCTGATTGTAACGCAACCGATACTTGCGCACACGAAACAGTAGCATTTGAGAAATCAAATGTTCCAACTATATCCTCTCCAAGTTTGTAGGAATTTTTAAAAAGGCAAAACCTTACAACGCGTCCACGTCCATTAGTAATATTATAAAAGTTTGGGCTACGTCTAGTTGTTAAATTCTAAATACAAAAATAATACATTAATTAATCTTATTATTTAACAAAAAAATAGTCTGTATTACAAGTTTGACAGACTTGAAGAGTTTGTAGTGCAACATCTAATGGAGTTTCTCTGTGTTGTGTTTCCATAAATGGATTATTTGGACTTAAATCAACACTATCATTGCAAGCAGCTACTTCTGGTAATTCTGTTAAAATCAAAGCATTAAATTAAGAATAATACATACATATATTACATTACATATTAATTTAAAGAACTAGTATAAGGAATATATTACCACTTAAAGAAAGTACTCTAAATGGAACTCTAAGCAATTTTATAGCCATGTTTACTCGTTGTGTCCCAATTGTGATTTTATATGAATACTTTACTGCATGCCCTCTATAAGATGGAGGTGCATCACTTGGAATTGTTTCTTTATAAATATCTACAAAACTCAAATGTATAAGTTTTTAATCTCATATATATTATATATTCAAATACCATTTAAAAACTTACATGTTTTACTTTCACCAGGAGACAATCTTAAATCACAAAACAAAATTTTGGGTTTCGTATTTAATACAACATGGCCACTATCCTGTTGCCATGGTGCAAATGTTGTATCTGCAAGATACTTTTTATAAAAAAGCAATCTAAATGAATTAAGAAGTTACATTAGTAATAACAAAAACTGAGAAAGTAACTTCATGTTATGTTCTATACCAAGTTGTACATTTAATAGACTTCAAGTGTTAAATAATTTGTAACATATATATTACAAAGAATAAAGAAAATTTCTATTAACTTACTTGCATTAATAGCCGCTAAGCGAGCTGTTGTATTTAATTTTTCTGAGAATACAATTTTATTATTTGCAGAACATTGACAATGCACTTGCGCACTAGCCCATGCAAGGCTTTCAAAAATATCACTAAAATTGGTTACACATAAAAATTTTATCTTTTTTTTACAAAATAAGTTAATTGCACATTTACCTATGACTTTGAGAAATCTGATGAATTGGATTTGGTGGATTACTAAATGTCACTAAACATTCTATAACTTCTCCAGAAAAATATACAGGTCCTCTAATTAATTTTGCTGTTATCTCAATCATAATGTTTATTATAAATGTCAATAATTCTCTTAAATAAGTCTCAAAATGTTATTTTTTTAAATCTGTCAATTTATATCATACTTTTATTATATAATACAGTATACTGTTTTAATGTCATTATATAAAACAATATTTATAAACAAAATTCATATAAAATTTTCAGTTTATAAATCTGCTTATAATATGCTTATAATATTGTTTATAACATGCGGCTTCAATCAAACTAATTCTTTGATACTTTGATACTTTCTAAATTTTACAAAATGTTAGCCTAGAATCATACACATAAGAATGTCTATATTATTACTTTTGAATAGGAAACTCTTCTGTTTACAATATTTTGTTTATTAATTTAGCTGTGAGCAAGTTGCTGTTATTTAAACCCTATTAATTAGAAATATTATCAAGAATAGATTAAACTCTAAAATATGTCAAAATATGTCACTCTACATATGACATACGTATATGCAATCCCCTTTCCTATTACGTTCTGTCGCTTCCGTTCTTGACATGCTTTTCCCTTACGTTAGTTTGATAGTAAAAACATGTTTAACTGTTAACAAGTAGTTTATTAAAAGTATGAGCTGCACAAGCGTGATTCATCAGCAATATGATATTTATTTTTTTAAGTATAGTATTGTAATATTGACTTTCCACAATTAAAACATTTTTATTTAACCTATTGTTCAATTTATCAGAAATTATTATAATGATAAAAGTAACTGCACGTGAAATTTTTAATCAAGTCGACAACAAATGTCATACACTCTATATAGAATGGTTTAACTCACACTTTAAAGTAATGTTATTAAAATCAACAGTATCACCATTATATGGTGAGGTTAGTATATAAATTTTAAATCAATAAATTGAAAATATGTATTTATTTTAGATAATTTGTCATATTTATAGTAATTTCGTGATATTCTTTTAATAAAAACAATTTTATTATTATAGATGAGTATCAAAGATGTAAATTACTTTTGTCGTGAATTATCTAAGTCAACTGATGAATACCTTAAAGAAACGGAAAGAATACTTTGTCGAGAAGATAAAGAAATTATATTTTTTATTCAAGACAAAACTTTGGAATGGAAAAAGAATGTATGGACTCTTGGACGAATTGAATTACATCCTATCTTAGATATTAAAGTAGTTTGTGAAAGTTTCCAACAATTATTGAAATTTTATCAAAGCAGTCAGGATAAATTAAACATGTTAGAAGAAGAAAATAAAAATTTAATAGATGTAAATAAGGAATTAAGTTTAAAAATAGAGAAAATGATAGAAATAAAAACTTCTATGGAACAAAATCTTTATAAAAAGTTTATAATGATTTTAAATTTGAAAAAAAGAAAAGTTGCAGAGTTAGAAGATGCAATAAAAGAGAATCCCAATACAAAAGAATCAATTTTTGATATATATACAGATGAAAGCGAAGAGTCAGAAAAAGAAGAACATGCTGCAAATAATGAACGTACAATATCTATCAGAGCTAACAAACGGAAGTCTCTGGGCAATAATAGTTCCAAAGGTATGCGAAAAACTAAAAAGACAGATTGTATTATTAATAGTAGCACAATTTGTAACATATCTAGTAGCAAAGATTGTGGGGAGAATAAGGAATACACTTTGAACAATTACATAGTGGAAGATAAAAAAAGCACGTATGAAAAACAAAGTTGCAGTTCTGAAAGCAGAAAGCCAAGAACTAGTTTGAATCTTATTGAAGAAGAATCTGAAGAAGAGTTATTTTCTCAATGATATAAATTTATGTGTATTTTTATCTACAATTGTATATTTTTTAAAATGCAGATTGTACAATTGGGAATTGTCTATTTCCAATGTATTTTATTTAGTCATTCTTATTGCATTTATTATAAGAATTTAGATACTGCTTTTATTACATCCATTTCTTATTTTGTTCGATACAACATCAATATCTTTCTGCCAGTAATACAACAGTGAATTAAAAAGAATTATGTTAGTGAATTATTGGGTCATGATGTAAGGTTGTATGAAAATTATTTGTTTGTCAAGCTTTTATATGATATTGGTGAATTTTTTGTTAATATTACAAGTTCGTATTATGACATTATCGTTCAACCTAATGTTGTGCTGTTTAAAGAGCAGCTTAAGAGCAGTTTTGTCGGATCGTTAATACTAATTATTAAAGAGAATTGACTATGATACGTTTGATACGTATTTAATCCTTTTATTATCTTGTGTTTAAAAAGTAGTTTTAAAATACAAAATACATTGGAGGCTCGTCGAAGGGCTGTAATACCGTACGATTCAACCATCATATGAAATGCAATTGGGGGGGGCAAATATAAAATTTTAACTTCGGGTATTTATTAGTTTCTGAGATATTGATAAAAAACTTTCGGTACCGTACATTGAATTCCGTCTATACAGACACTACTAAACAACCGCCGTTGTATTAGTCAGCGTCGTACAACCGTCGTCGCTGTCAACTGGCCGATGACGTAATAGCGATATTGTCCTCAGGTAATTGATGGTGGATTAAATCAGTTAGCCGAAACCTAACTCAGTACGAATCAAGCTGGCTAGAATTTGAATGAGTTGTAAGCAGAATTCAATGTATTATACTCAAAGTTTTTTATTAATATCTCAAACCCCCCCCCCCCCCCCCAAAATTTCGTTTTACTATGACGTCATACCGTACTACAGCCAAAGTTTTTATTGTATTTACAACTGATATTTACAATAATGAATAAAAGTTCACATTTTTGGATTTATATGAGTAATGTTATGTTTTATATGCAACAAATATAATGTTTATTTATTGAATACAAAACTTTTAAGTAATTTGTAGGAAACGGAATACAAAATGCAATTAGAAATTGGTAAAATATAATTAGGATAAACAAAATTAATAATGCTATATAATTAGGATAAACAAAACTGGTAACGCGCTTTATCGCTTCGCAGGAAAAATGAACGAATCTCGCTTTTGTTTTCCCTATTTATAAGGTCTTCGCGACATGCGCTCACTCTCTCTGACTCTCACGCACTCTCTTAGCAACTCGCATCCTTCGCATTCGCACAAACACACTCGCTCTTGTTTAATAACAACGTTTCGCCTATTCGTATCGCAGGGTTTTTAACAAAACAAGCTCGACCATATGATCGGCCCGCTCCGGTTATTAACCTCCTACACTCGGCCGTCCTGACAAGTGCACCTGTCCTCAGGTACTGCTACTTTGTGTTTCGCTCATTCGGAATTGCTATCATCTACTTCTACGTGATCTTCTATCCACGGCTTCATATGATCCGCCGCAGTAGAGGTTTCGAGGGGACCCTCCTGATCGCCAACTCTTCTTACTAGATAACGATCGTTACGTAGTGCCCTCGTTATTGTGTATGGACCCATGTATTTTGGCGTGAGCCAGATTGGGTCCCGGACCCAATTGCGTTTTCTTTATGGCCACCAGATCATCTTCCTTGTATACTTGCTGCGCTCTTGTACGTTTTTTTGTTTTTTGCCTGTATCTTCATAATTTGTTCCCTCGCACTGTATCGCAGCTGATTCCGGTCCTCTTGGAATTTGTCGACCCATTCCGCCTGCACTAATTCAGTGAAAGATGAATCTTCATGCACCCTCACACGTACTCACACGTACGATGATACGTACAATTTAGACATCGTTGCAATGCATCGAGGTGGCGGTACCAATTTTCCGGCTTCGGTGCGCTTACCTTTGAGTGTTACGTACCTCGGGGCCCCCGGTTTCGGTCAGTTCATTAAAGGAGTTTACATGGGATAGGGGCTGCGATAGTGACTACGAAAGAGTGCGATGCATACAAGTTTATTTAT